GTTAAAGTTTCCATCGTTACCCCACGTTTTGTTCGCCGCACGTCGAAATGGCAAACTATCACAAGATGGAATCATCATCCGTACAGACGCTCAAGGATCTGGCCAACAAGTTGAGGATCAACTCGATCATCGCCACCAACGCTTCGAAATCCGGGTAAGTGGTTTTTCGTTTTCTTCCCCGCTGCACCACGTTTTCGTTTCACGTTCTTTGGCGTTTTCCGTGTTGCTATAGTATTAGTTTTCCGTAGTTGCGTTCTGTTCGTCGTCGTCCTCACGGTCAAATCACAGTTTCCTTCAAATTTTTCTCCGCCGCAGTTCCCTTTCACTTTCCGTTCTCCGCTACGAACGCCGCGCGCATGTTCGTCATCGTTCGCCCTTGCGGGTAACCCGTGCCGGTACAATATCCAACCATTGCAATAGGCCGAATACACCGCGTCGACCGCGGTGAAAGTAAATAATTATGGTTCCAGGTGGCCTTCCATTCTTTTGCCGGTCTTATTTTTATTTTTAATCGAAATTCGCCTACGTTGATTACACGCAAACGGAAATAAAACAACACCTGTATTTGCCATACGAAAATTTTTTTAAAAAAATTAATATATGTAGTAATTACTTTTATGCTCTATGGTTTTAATAAGAACCTTATTTACCAGAACAGTTTTTTTTTGCCTAATAAAATAACGAAATTAAATAGGTACTAGTAAATGTATTTGGCTTTTATTTGTTAGATATTTCGTCACTCTTTTAAAAATAGTAATAACAGTTGATATTTTGTAATATTAATGTTTACTTATTGCTTAGTTTTTATGTCCTTAATGAGTTGTATTTGATTATATATTCGTAACATTTTAATAATTTAAATTTTTATGTATTTATTCATGTATTTCTATTATATTTAGAAATTAATTACCATGCTTTGTTTAAAATATTGTTTGTTAAGTTACATTTTTTATTTAATGTAAATTATTACAAAGTATAACTTAGTGTTAAAGCAAATATTTTTAAGTAGGTAGGTTAGATCTTACAATAATTTTATTTCTATGAAATAAATAAATTTGTATAATTTCATAAGTGTTAAATTAAAAAATACTGAATAAAATTGTCCTTAATTTTGATTTTCAACCTTTTAAATAATTATAAATACTGATAAATTAAAGACTACTCGTAAAATACAAATGTATGTTCTCAAAAGAACATTTAAAATTAAATTTTGTTTTGTTCTTCTATAAATTTTGATTATTAAATTATTCACATATAAATTAAATGTGTCAATTCTTAAAAATTGTAACATTACGCAATTGCTAAATATTTAGAGACATATGATGGAGTGAATTGATACAAAAATAAAAAATAAATACCTAAACTTTTACTGTACACAAAATAAATAAGGTATTTAAATGGATGGTAAATGTTAAAATATCCTATTCACTTCTTCTTATTCATTATTATGTATACGTTCATAACATATATATGTATTAATTTAACTATCTTTGAAATTCATTATTAATTTAAGTTTTTGCAAGATTTAGAAACTAAATTATCTTTTATATTATATTGTAAAACTTAGGTACCTTTATTATAAATCAAAATAACTTTTAAATTTTTAATTTAATTAAAATTAATTGTAACTTATTTTTTAATAGCCATCCTACATCATGTGCTTCAATGGCAGAAATCATGTCTGTTTTATTTTTCCATACAATGCGCTACAAGGTATCTAGCCCAAAAGATCCAGTTAATGACCGATTTATATTATCTAAAGGTCATGCTTGTCCAATTTTATATGCAGGTAATTAAAGTTATATATATATAAATAATAAATATAAACAATATTTTACTTTTACATGAATTTCAAAAATTTAATTTAATTTTTTTTTAGCTTGGGCTGAAGCTGGTTTGTTTCCAGTATCTGATTTAGCCAACTTAAGGAAAATTGACAGTGACTTAGAAGGACATCCTACACCTCGTTTAAATTTTATTGATGTCGGTACTGGTTCTCTTGGTCAGGGTCTCTCTGTTGCTTGTGGAATGGCCTATGTTGGTAAATACTTCGATAAATCATCATACAGGTAATGAACTATACTTTTTAAATATTTTTCTATTCTAGGCTATTTTTCAATTAAAATCTAATAACTTATATTTGTAATTATTTTCAGGACTTTTTGTTTGTTGGGTGATGGTGAGAGTGCAGAAGGTTCAGTATGGGAAGCTTTAAACTTTGCATCATTTTACAACTTAGACAATTTAGTGGTAATATTTGACATCAACCGCTTAGGTCAATCTGGACCTACTTCTTTACAGCATGATATGGAAGTTTACAGACAAAGAATAACATCGTTTGGTTTAAATGCCATTGTTGTCGATGGACATGATATCGAAGAATTAACAAAAGTAACATAATATAAAAGTGTTGTTGACATATTTTTACATGTTTCTTCTCTATTTTTAGGCTTTCCATGAAGCTTCAATTACAAAAGGAAAACCCACAGCTATTTTGGCAAAAACTTACAAAGGAAAAGGTTTTGTCAACATTGAAGATGCTGAAAAGTGGCATGGAACTCCATTAAATGATAACGCTGTTAAAGTACTAGAGGTAAACATAAATTTAACTGTCTTTTTTTCTTGTTTCAAAAATAACAGAATTAAACCATTGTAATTTTTATATTAAAAAACATCACTGCATTTTTGAACCTAAAATATTAATATTTGTAATGGAATTATTTCATTAATACTCATTTAATTTATTTAATATAGGAAATTAATGGTCAAATTAGGAACAAAAAAATGCCTGTAAATATACCTAAACCTGTTGCTGTTGTTCCTACTTTAAATATTACCAATGTTCGTCTATCAACTCCGCCAAACTATACACTTGGTGAAAAGATTGCTACACGTGTTGCATATGGTACAGCTTTAGCTAAAATTGCTGAAAACAATGACCGAGTAATCGCTTTAGATGGTGATACCAAAAACTCTACATATTCTGACAAAATCAAAGTGGTATGATATTCTTTCAACATACAATTTTATTGCTATACTATTTTATTGTTATTCATTTTTAGAAATTCCCTGAAAGGCATATTGAGTGTTTCATTGCTGAACAAAACATGGTTGGCATTGCAATTGGAACAGCATGCAGAGACCGAACTATTGCATTTGTATCGACTTTTGCTACTTTCTTTACTAGATCTTTTGATCAAGTATGTAGTACTATACTAATAATATTAAAATAATAATTCAATATTATATTTTAAATTCATATAGATTCGTATGGGTGCCATTTCTCAAACTAATGTTAATTTTGTTGGTTCACATTGTGGAATAAGTATTGGTGAAGATGGACCTAGTCAAATGGGTCTTGAAGATATTGCCATGTTCAGAAGCATTCCAGGTATTATGAGTTTTATGATTCTTAATCTATTATTTTTGTGTATTTGATTTTTGATTAATTTTAATTTCTCTCATTTTAGGTGCAACCATATTTTATCCAGCTGATGCAGTGAGCTGTGAACGTTCTATTGAAATAGCAGCAAATACTAAGGGTATTTGTTTTATCCGTACATCGAGACCAGCGACTGCTGTCATTTATAAAAACGATGAAATTTTTGAAGTTAGTATTAAATGCTTTAGTTTTAAAATTTTTTATATTTATAAAATAATCAATATTAATTAAACTTACAAATATATTAATTTCAGATCGGAAAAGCTAAAGTTCTTAAAAGTTCCCCTTCAGACAAAGTATTGATAATTGGTGCTGGTGTAACATTATACGAAGCTATAACTGCTGCTGAAGAGCTAGGAAAATCTGGTATCAGCGTCAGAATTCTTGATCCATTCACTATTAAGCCACTTGATGCTGCCACTATTATAAAGAATGCTAGAGAATGTGGTGGTCGAATCATCACTGTAGAGGACCATTACCCAGAAGGTACATGAGAATATATTTATATTATGTATCTAATATCCATTTTTTTAAAATCATTGCTAACTTTTGTTTTTTATATTTTTGTCATATAGGTGGTATAGGTGAAGCTGTTTTGTCTGCTGTTGCTGAAGAAAGAGACATTTGTGTTAAAAAACTTGCTGTTTCTGACATTCCTCGTTCCGGTCCTAGCAATGTATTATTGGACCTCTTCGGAATCAGTTCCAAAAATATTGTTGCAGCAGTCAAAAAATTTGTTAATTAATTAATTTCATATATTGTATAAATCTCATTTATATTTTTCAACTTAATTTCATATGGTCTTTTTAATTGGTCATTTTTATTTTATATTTTAGTCAGTTTCTTGAATTTTTCATAGCAATATTATATATTTTTTTTTTTAAAAAAAACAAGAATAATTATTTTTACAAATTTGTTTAAAACATTTAAATAATAAATAATTCATAAATAATGACCCTTTTCTTTTCTTTTGTGAAATATACCAAAGGACCAAAAAAATATCATAAACTGGTGTTATTATTTGTATAATTTATTTTCTTATGGTAAATTGTAGTCAATTTAAAATGACTAATATCTGCTCATATTTAAAATATTTTTATAAATAACCATTTTTTTACCTGCTGTATTTGGAATATAAAAGAATAAGTAGGTTTTATACTTAAATTGTATGTTAGGTATAGCTGAAATACCTACAGTTTTAAGCAACTGTTTTAATTACTTAAAAAAGAGTGTTAACTAGAGTTTAGAACTTATGCTCTTGAAAAGTAGTACATGGACTTGTTCTCTTAGATAAAGTACTTGATAAACAATATGCACTTATATTTTATTTTTCTTACAGAACATTTTCAATCCTAAAATTATTTTATAAAATAATATATAGTAAAAAGCAATATTATAATAACTATTAAGTAATTAACTTACAAATTAAAAATATAAAATTTGAATGAGAATGATGATGTGTAGACAACATGGGATGTATTAGTAGTTGGGGGCTAATAATAATATCTATATGAGGTCTATTAATGCCATCTATGATAGTTGTTTAATTGTATTCATGAAAAATAAATTTTACTTTAATTGTGGCTACATTTACATATTGTAGATAGAGCTACAAATTATAGTTATAAGTATATATTGATCAATAAGAGCAAACCTTGATTTTAAATGGGGATTTGAAAAATGTGATATAAGTATATAGATATGGAGACATTTTCAATGTAGTAACATTCCTTTCAAATGATATTTTATATTTAATTTGTACCACTAACAAAGTGTTACACATTAAATAAATATTTAATAAACAAATAAAAAAAAAAATATTACACAATTATTAAATTAAATTTAAATTTAAATCAGGATTTTTTTGCTTTTAATTGATATTTATTTTTATTGGATGGAAAAAAAGGGAAAAATGATTTTACCAACTAAATTATATTTATGACTATTAATAGTTCTATTAAAATTATGAATGATAAATTTAAAAAAAAAAAACTGTCAAGTTATCAGAACTATTTTTATTCCTAATTCTCTCTTTCTATAAAAAAATTAATGTTTTGAACTTTTCTATGTTTCCAGTAGGATTATTAATAATAAATATAATGAAATAAAATTAATTAAGAAATATAATTCAAAGTAAAAACTAATAAATTATAAAATCTTATAACTACTTTAATTTCTAATTTATAGAAATAAAATAATTAGACAATACACCAATAAGTATAATCAACTGATTATTTAATATAATATAATTTTACCATTTTGAATTATATAAATATATTTTAATCTTTAGTTATAATTCAGTGCCTAAATACTTTTGTTATTCTTATTGCTTTTATCTAAAATCATAATAATAATTAATATAATCAAACTTGCTTAATAGTTAATGATTATCGAGTAATATAATTTTTAGTAAATTACAGTCAGTAATTACTGTTTATAAATATTAAAATTATTAAATTTAATAATTAAATGATTAATAATACTTTTTACTCAAATAATACATTTAGGCGCTTTTTTAGACTGAATTTACACATTTTACACACTTGGTAGAGAAATTTAACTGTAAAATAATTGAATTAAATACTAGTGCTACTAAAGTTACTATTACTTCAAAAAGTAAATTAAAAAAAACCAATAAAATTAAAATATGGATAACTTATGGTCTTCTTATATCAATTAAAAATAGACAAAAACTTTATAAAAAAAACTTAAATCACCTTTTGATTTAAAACTGAAACAATATTATATTAAATATAGAAATCTTTTGAACCTATTAATTAAAAAAGCTCGTTGTTTATATTATAGTGATCCAATACTTAAAATAATTTACATATAAAGATACTATTATTCTGTCTCTTTTTAAATCAGGTGACAAAAAACTATATAGTAACTACATACCTATTGCAATAACTTTAACTACTTTATATATCTAACATTTTTGAAAAATGTATTAAAAAAAGACTTTTTAATTTTTTTAATAAACATTAATTTTTTTTGCTAAATCAATATGGTTTTCGTCCAAATATGTCAACCGCGGACCCATTAGTTAAAACTTCCCACATTATTCATGATAATTTGGATAAAAAATTCAAAGTTTTGGGTATTTTTCTTGATTTTAAAAAAAGCGTTTGACAGTGTTAATCATGAGTTATTAATTAACAAACTTGATTTCTGTGGTATAAGAGGAAATGCTCTAAACTTAATTAAATCTTTTATTTCAAATAGACCCCAACAAGTTAGAATTGAAGGTACACTGAGTGATATAAATACCAATAGTTTTTCGGTGCCACAAAGTACTGTTCTTGGCCCAATATTATTTATCATTTATATTAATGGACTCTTAAACTTAAACCTAAATGCTGATATTTTGTGCTATGCTGATGATACTGTGGTACTTGTAAAGAATAAATATTATAATGAACTATTAAAAGAAGCTAATATATGTCTAGATTTAATTAAGAATTGGTGTGACAATAATAATCTACAATTTAATTTAGGTAAATCTAAATATGTAATTTTTAATATTTTTAACTGTACGAGTACATCATATAGTTCCATTTCTGAATTATGTATACATTCTTATAATTGTAAATATTTAAATTTACCTTGTAATTGTGTTCCTTTAGAGAGAGTGTATAATATTAAATACTTAGGTATTCTTTTTGACCATAGACTAAAATTTGTTGATCATATTTATTCTGTTAATAATTCAATAAGAAAATGATTTTATAAATTTAAAATACTTCGTAATATCTTAGGTCTTAAAACTTTAAGGGTAGTCTCTTAGCTTTAGCACAATCAGTTTATTTATATGGTTCTTTAGTCTGGGGTTATACATACTTCAGCCATCTTAATGTATTATGTACAACTATAAATTCTTTAACTAAAATTATTTTAAATAAACCAAGATTTTTTTCTACAATTTTAATATATAAAATCCTTAATGTTCAACCTTTTATATTATCATTCAAATATCAAACTTTATTATATATGTATAAAATTAAAAACTTAATTAAGGATTTTCAACCATCGCATGTTTACAATACTAGACTAAAACATAATAACAACCTAAATTTTTCCCTGAATAAAACAAATTTTGATAATCAAAGTACTATTATTAATGGTGTTTTATTATTACGCTATTATAACATTAATATTTTTTCTTTTATTAATTTTAATCAATGTAAAAATCATATATTTAGTTTACTTTCTCAGATTTTTATTGTTTTGTATAATTTTATTTTAATTTGAAATTTAATATTTCATTTACCTTTTATATTTTAATTGAACTCAACTCATCTGCATTCAAGCTTATTTGCTTATAGGATGAGTTGCAAATATTTTAAATATTTATTGTATATTTAACTTGTTAAATTGATGTTGTTGCAATAAACTTTATTATTATTATTATTATTATTATTATTTAATATAATATAATTTTACCATTTTGAATTATATAAATATATTTTAATTTTTAGTTATAATTCAGTGCCTAAATACTTTTTTCATTCTTATTGCTTTTATCTAAAATCATAATAATAATTAATATAAATGTAATAATTAATCAACCTTGTTTAATAGTTAATGATTATCGAGTAGTATAATTTATAGTAAATTACAGTCAGTAATTACTGTTTATAAATATTAAAATTATTAAATTTAATAATTAAATGATTAATAATACTTTTTACTTAAATAATACATTTAGGCGTTTTTTTTAAACTGAATTTACACACTTTACATGTATATGGATTGCATATATCCTAATATCACGGGTAATGGATTTTGAGCATATTTTTTGTTAAGTCAACGTTGAAAAAACGATTTCAAGGGGCTTATAGCTTTATTGACGTGTTTAATATATATATATATATATAATTTTATCAGAAGCAAATGTTATCCATTGGAGTAGGTTTGATTTACAACATATCAATTTATTTTTAACGTGGAAATTTAAATAAATAAAAGTTTATTAAAATGTGCAAGTAACGTTTTTCGGTTGCTGTAATTTATTCAATCATGAGCATATGTTCTATTATTCACTATTAATCCATTATGTCTTCGTTCATCTGATGACTATTTTTATGGTTATTTTTTTTCATCTATCTGTAAAATACTTTTACCTTCTTATTTTATTTAATTGATTCGCTTTATTTGGTTTTTTTTATCTCTTGTCAATATTATTGAAAAGTGCCGCTCCCAGTAACTCGATTATAGTCGAAAAGGTTGCTAATTCGATGTTGAGTTCCGAAACTTGGAACACAAGTTATTTTTACTTATGTTTTCGTGGATTACGGAGAATTACTATAATAATTATTTCGTCATAATTAGGGCGCAGATTTTTATGTAAATAATAATTATATTAAATGTAAATTTCTCAATTCTGATGTAAAAATAAGCATGTTTCATAACAACCTAAATAATATGAGATATTTTTATTTTACATATTTTCACATACATATTTAACCGTGAAATTATTTTCATGAAACTATAAAAACCTAATGGAAATATTTTGAAAGAAAATTTCAAATTTTCAGCTATTTATTTTACTTCTATTTATTTTATCTTATATATTTATACTTAAAAATTATGTTTAGCTTAGTATAATATACTAACAACATTTGTACTGTTATGTACGAGTATATTTAATAAAATATCTTTATTTATGAACATTTTTGCGTTAAAAAAAATTAAGTGCATATTTTTTAAGCATATTTGTACTTTTTTAAGCGCATAAGTGCATGCATATTTAGTACCTTTTAAGAGAATTAAGTTCTGAGCCCTAATAATAATATAATACATACTTTCTACTATATAATTTAATATTCATTAGTTATTATTTATTGAAACTTATGAAAATATTTCATACCTATCTAATAAAAAAAACTGCGAAAATATGTAACCAAAATTTGATAGCATCACCATAAGATATATATTTGTATCACACATTTTCAAAGCACACTGTCTGGTAAAATACACGTCACGGTGTAGTGTGAACCCGGCTTAATGTTGAATCACTTTGAAACCTAACCACTGTACATTAAAATTTGAAAATCTCCAAATGTATGTTGAATCCAATTGTTTCGAAGAAGACAACAATGAAGATGATTAGATGAATAATTATTATTTAGTAATTAAAAGTTAATGTAAAATATCGATTTTTTTGTTAAATATTTCACGTTTTTTAAATACATATTTTGAAAAAAAATAAGAACATAAGTATTTACATATTTTGACTTTTTTATTACATAAAAAAGTCCAGGACTGTGAATTTAATGGACTTGCATGTTTTTTTTTACTACTTTATATAAGGATATGGAATCAGCCAAAATTCGTTTTGTCTTATTTATTAAATACAAAATCTTATATATGCATATTTAGGGGATATAGCATATAAATGCATATTTACACGAATTTATTGTTTTAATACTATTTTTTAAATTTTAGTAAAATGTACAATTATATTGGTTTATATTATAATTATTAGCGAAAAAAAATTGCAAATATAATTATAAATTATATAAGTATAAATAATTTAACAGTTTAAATACTTATAGCCCAAAGGATAGTCTATAAATTATAATTATAATCAAGTATTAATATAGTATATTATAAATAATAATACTTAAATATATTTGTATTGTTTTGATGCACCAATACTTACACTAATACTTTTTGGTCTCTTTGGTCTTAATTAAAAATATTTCTATTATTGCAAGTATTTTATTGTAAAAAATAAATATTTTTTTATATAAAAAAAAAAAAAAATTAGTCGAACAAAATTTGTTAAGTCGTCTTGGACACCAAAATCCGAACACGCCTTAGCATTTCGATATACATAGTATTTTTCAGATAATGTATTTTAATATTTTAAAAACATCACGTATTTTTACGTTCAATGTAAATTTATTTTATTGTTCAATGGAATATAATAAATCGCTAGATAGAAACAAAAAGTTTTTTCAATTTATATCTGTAACATTTTTATTGTAAAATCATAAAACAGTGACAATTTATAGTACTATGTTGACTAACAATTAAATACTGACTTAATACTTATAGATTTAAAATCGTATATTCGTCGAAAGGAAACATTATTTGAAAATATTATTATTATCATTTTGTTCGGCGGATTCATCCGGCATCTTATCTATGAAGAATGCTGCTGCTTTGCGGACGGATACGTTATTCTTGAGATTTATAGAGAGAGCCAATAATGTGATTGATCGGTCAAATGCGAAAAATGCAAACATAAATGATCTAAAAATATTATTATCATTATAGAATGAAAACTAACTAGCTAACCAACTACCTTCTTAGTCGGAATGCATTGCGTTTTACGTTTTCGCAGCGTGTCGTAACAACGTACACACGGTAACTAATACAACCGAACAGTATTTCGGAAATTAGGAAAAAATGAGATTTATATTCGACCGAATTATTTTTTATAGGTGTATAATAGTTGTTGTGCTTCGGATGTTTCGGAAAAAACAAGCTGCTCTCGGCCAATCCGCTCGATAACATTCACACGATCTGTCATTTACTCCTGTAATCGTAATGGACATTGTGTTTTTACTATCGTACGTGTTACCAGGACCGGATTAAAGGGTAGGCAAAATGAGCAATTGCTTACGGCCAAAAAAAAATTCGGCCCATAATTTTTAAAATCAAATTTATATATAATAAAAATAAAATTTAAGAATTTTTTTCTCATGAGTAGTTATGAATTTATGATTTTATATCATAAATAATTTAATATTATGGTTATCAAATTTGTTGTAAACTTGTAACTGTGATTTGTATCAATTATTTCGTTATTCTAACTAATGTTCCAAAAATATTTCATCATATTAATTTACCTTTATGATGTGATCAGTACTCAGAAGCTTATTAGTTTAATACTATCGCAACTCGGGTTTTTCCTAAAAATAATATTAAATAAACAAAATTATAACAATGATGATATTTAATATATACATATAGAATTAATAATTAAATAATGTAATAATAAAGAAAATTAATATAAGAATGCAAAATTTTAAACGTAAATTATAATTATTTTAATTTTATTTGTGATACCTAATAAATAATTGAAAATAAAATTAATTTTTTTAAGTGTATGAAAATTATGTGTAGGCCATTTATATGAATGTGCTTACGGCCCTAAAAACTATAATCCGGCTCCGCGTGTTACACGTCGTTGTTGCGCAAGTCGAGCACGTTATTGATCGCGCGCGTACCGTCGTTGCACGGAATTGTTGTTGGTTTGCCGTTCGTTTCCGTTTATTTATTTAATTTTTTTTTTTTTTTTTTATTATTATCTCACCGTCCCAGATTCGTTTGTCGGCTAGACTTGGATTCGCCCGCGGCGTAACGTTGGCAACCAGTGACTTCGCCAAACGACACGCGCGCGCAGTCGAACGTTCCGGTACACCCGCGGGCCCGCCGTCGAGAGCCGTACCATGGACGTCGTGTGCCCCGAGATCGACCGGCTGACGTCGTGCCGTACGTGCGGCGCCCAGTCGCTGCCGCCGTTCAGGTTGTGCGTGGCCGCGCACGTGGCCTGCGTCCCGTGCGCCGCGTACATGTCGCGGTGCGCCTGCGGCCAACCATTCGCCCCGGGCCCGCACTGCACTCTCGACTGGCTGGCCCGGGCGCTGCGGCACGGGTGCAAGTACACGGCGCCGGGCCCGGCTCCGAGTCTAAGCCGTCTCCACTGCCGCAGCCGTCGCCCCCACCGCCGGTACAGCGTCCGGGAGCTGCGCGAGCACTACCGCACTGGTTGCGCGCTCAACGGTTTCGTGTGCCCGCTAATCGGTTGCGGTCACGTTGCTCGCGTTGACACCATTGTCGAGCATTACGAGGCGGCGCACGGCCCGTACGAACGGCTGATGTCCGCCGATCCGCTTAACCCCAACCGGATTACATTCAAGATACGCGACGTGTCGTAAGTTCGGTGCCCTTGTCGACCCGTTGTCGTTCCTGCGGCCGAATAGGCGGATATTTGGTCACAACTGTGGAGGGGAGGGCTTAAAATTTTTGTCTTATCCATTAGCGTAAACAGACATTTTTAGACACTTCGACCTACTAACCATTGGCGCAACTAGAGGTGGGGTTTGGGGGTTGTAACTCCCCTCCGAAATTTTCCTGAGGTTTTTACGAATTCTACCTAGGAAAAAAAATGGTTTATCTTGAAGACGCGAAACGGCTGACTGATATGAAATATGAATATTATTCGTATTATAATTGATAACAATAATAATATGACATTATGGAACGTTTTGTAACGGTCCGTTTAACTTTAAAACATCAATAATCTTGCTACCGATAGTCGATTGTATAATACTTTTTTTTGTAGTATCACAATATGAAATATAAGTTAAACTGTTTAATTTGTAATTTAAATATTTTACTCATAAACCTAACTTAATCTTACTTCCTTGTCCCCGACAAACACTTGCAAAAAATGCTTATTTTTCAAAATTCACAACCCTCCCTCCGAAAACCAATCTCGATTGCGTCACTGCTACTAACTATATTGAAATATTGAATAGCTACTCTATTTTTTTTATTTTTCATTGTATAAATCTATTCCTTTATTTCCTTTATTAACTACAAAATATAATTTCCCCCAATAACGATAGTCCGTAAATATTCCAGACCATTCTCGCATACCAACTAAATAAAATAAAAATTATAAATAACAAATATTAAAATACACAATTGATTTCGACGTCTGGTGTGATCTTATTGCGTTAAGGGGGCTTAAGCCCCCCAAAATCCCCCCTAAAATCCGCCTGTGCGACCGAACCTGTTCGCGGTACGCTTTGCTCATGTTCCTCTACGTGTTATCGCGGGTCAAGTTCAGCTGAATGACTTCGGTTGATCGACGAAAGTCCAATGAGATCGAAAACCTTTATTTCAATACAGTTGACCCGGTCAAACTTCTCTCTTCCAAGGCAAGTTGCCTGCTAATCGCTTTCAAGTCGAAACCCGCGTAGACACGTATAAATGTTTATGCGGTACGGTCGATTTTGTTGGTTTGTTATCAACTGGTCGCTCATGTGCGTACGTACTTTGACGTACGGTCCTGAACTCCGAACAACAGTTTGTTACATTTTTTTTCAGACATTCTCAAATGATTTCTATATCCTCCTTTATCCTCTAATGCTCTAACACTCTTTTAGTGGTGCTCCCAATTGATTTATTCTCAATATCCATTGTTTATCCTGAAAACGGCGTTCCTTACGATTTTTAAGTGTGTTAATTAAAATAGTTTTCAGTTCTGATTTTAATAAAACACTTTTGACATGCTTACGATTTCACTCACAACGGCTTTCAACACCATTCTAAACTGAACTAAAACAACCGAGTCGAGAATGAAAATTAAATTAATCAAAAACATCACATATTGAAATGTGCGAGTAAGAACTGATTCGAGTCATATTCCAAATTCGTTGATCAATTATAATCGTTCGACTAAACTTGACTCGTGAGAACATGTGCAAAACGAATAACTAGGGGTTACCCGTAAAATACAAAAATATTGTAATACATTATTACCTAAATATTTAACTACCGGTAGTTGAAAATATTATATATTGAGTGGTCGGGATTAGTGTGGTAAAACGTATTTATCAAGTTTGGTTACAAATAAAACCTTATTGCTCTAATATTTAAAATTGTATTAGGTAAGGATCACACGGTCTACGCGGCAGGATACGGTGATAGTGAAATAATACCTTGTACCTCTGTAATAATACTTCTGCGTACAACTGTAAACAGAAAGAAATATATATTCGAGCAGCAACGCTCTAGGCTAGATTCAGGTGGTTTTCCGAATGATTTTTTACAACTACCCTGAATACAGTATTTTAGATATTTTTTCTACGTCCAATTACTTTTTTTTAAAAATAATTTCACAATTTTTCTGTCACATAAATTGGATTTTTGTACTTACTCGTATATTCGTATATAAGAAGGTACATATTTTTTTATAATAATATTATATTATTTTGTTTTCTACCATCTTTAGTAGTCTTTAGTACTACTATTTTCCAATTTTTTATTAACGGTCAACGAATCAGCAACGATACTGAGATAACTATGTGAATAAAATATACATGTAGGTACATAGCAGAAAATATGTTTGGAATATAAGTCTGCGCCCTATCTAATACCTCGTAAGACTGTTACCGTCATCAAGTAGTTGTATGTGTCTTATTTAACTTAATGTACGAGATATTAGTTAGGGTGCAGATTTGTATTCCAAATATATTTTCCGAGATGTACCTACATGTGTATTTGAACATATACATGTATATAGTTTGCAGCTCAATGATATATATAGATATGTCTTATTTAATTTATAAATCTCATTGAATTGCAAACTAAATGGGTATACTAAATCTAATCCTCAAATAATAAAAATCATATAAAAAACCAAAATTGTAATGGACACTATAAAAGTCTGTGTTCAATAATAATTTCATTATAATGCGTAAAAGTGTCATATAATTTACGTATAGACGTATGCGCCAGTGATTTGACTATCAACCTAAAAAATTTTTTTATTTCTGAGCTTTTATTTTATACTAAACCAAGAGACAAATTAATATTGTTGTGGACCCTTGAGTTGAAATACCCATTTTTATTTGATAATTTATATTAATAAATTAAAAAATACACAATTATTAATTAACAACATCATAATGTATACTCCTTATTTGCAGTTTTCTACTGTTTATTCTTTCTATGCTATCAGTAAATCGTATATTATTAAGCTATACAAAATGTATGACAAGTCACGACGAAACAAAAATAATGTCATAATAATAAACGCTTATTGATGTAAGGAGTAAGAAGGATTTTTTTTGTCATTTTTACTAATGAATGTAATTTTTGTGCATTTTGTGCAAAATATTTTTCCTACATATTTTGCCGTTCTTTTGTCCTATTATTTCTGTGCCCCGACGTGTCAATAATATTATATCAAATACTTTAAAATTTAACTCGTTTAACGATTTGGTGCAGGTGGCGAACCAAAGAATTCGTCCACAAAGCTTTCAATGGATACTTTTTGTTCATCACGAAAAAATCATATCAAAATCCACGGAATTATAACTTGAGCCTGAGCATGCAGAACATCAACCCATCCGATCTTTTGAAATATACGTACAACGCGACGGTGATGTCTAATGAAGTTATGGTCACCTTGTCGTTAAATGATTCGTGGGCCGAATGAGTTCCGATTCGGCACATATTAAAAACATATTGATTTGTATTAACAGATAAATTGAACTTATAAATAAATTAGTATTATAATATATCATTAATGGTTTTACATTTACATATATATATATATATATGTTATTTAATTTAGAAGTTGCAGTTTAAAATGATTACGCAGTTGCATCATAATTTTCCAATGTAAATAGCGTACTTTTCGCCACTAAATTTTTGGGCATTAATTTTTAGAAAACATTTTAAGTTTTGAATTTTTTTTTAAGTAAATGTATTCATTAGATTATATTATAGATATTAATTTAAAAAATAAATTAAATTGTTAGTACTCGTAAAAGATAATGAATTAATTTAAATTTACATTTTTTTTTATATATATATATATATATATATTTTTTTTTTAATGTTTTTTAGCATATTATAAGACTCTTTTTGTCAAATTATAGTACATATTTCAGTACTATCAGTACTATTCAATATTACAAAATCCAAACCTTGGTTATTACATTCATTTTCTATATATAACGAATTCATCAAAAGCAATAGAAATCTAATAATAATTAACAGTATATTTATATTAATGACGACAATAAAAAAAAATAACGTAACAAATATTATTTAATACAATTTACAGTATTTTCAAACCGTTTTTATTATTTTAAATTTCTACATTTTTTCTTATTACCTATAAGTTATAAATTATTTTATTCTAAAACCGATGATTTAATATCTCTAATATTTATTTTCAAAGCTCTCTAGCCATCAATTGTTAATATTATATACAATGCTCATAAGGAGTCAAAATTATCAGTGGCGAATGCTGATTCTGATGTATGGGCATGCTCATTTATCATAATGTTTTACAGTTATACATAATTTATTATTAATAAATAATACACAAATTTGTATTAATTTATTAATAAGACTTTAATATATATATATATACACAATAGCACTTACTTAAATAACATTTAACCAACTGAACAATGTTAAATAATAGCACAATAAAACAAAACAAAGAAAAATTGTAATATACTCCTACACATAAATTTTATAAATTACGATATTGATGAAGCGTAAAAAAATGAAGATGCCCTGGGTAATAAATACCGAGGCTGCTAGTAGAGGTTGTCTCGGAATAATAGATATTTTACAGCGGTAACAAGCGTCGTGTAGCTTGCGCACACAACTATCGCATGCTCTGTTATTAAATGTTACAAAGTATAACAGAATTAAATTACATTATTGTAATACATTATATTCTTTTAAAATACGTAATATATTATTGATTAAAAAATAATTTTTGTATTTTGATTAATAACGTTTTTATTCCGAAGCATGCTGAGCATGCATGGAGAATTCGCCACTGGAAATTATACATGTTTAACGTAGTTTACAAGTATGAAATAATATTACGGACCTGTCATGTCACCTTTGTTCAAGGTTGCAACAAATTTAAATATTAAAGGGTCAGGACTATTCATTAAAAAATAATAGTATCATGAATAATGTGATGTTAGGAAACAAATATACATTTAATTTGCTATAAAAACATTGAATGTTAATTTATTGTACTGAAATTTCGTCCAATATTTATACACTCGTGGTTCAAAAAAGTAAATGTGAACTTAATATGTAAGGTTAGTTGGGGTTAGTGCGTCATTGGGGTAACTGCGTTATTTCAATTTTTATAATAACAGATAAGTATATTGTAGCAGACATTAATTAAATATCGAATGAAATATTACTCTGAACATGTGTTTAGATATGGTAACACTGTAATATAAATACTTGAAAATGTAGGTTTGATTAAAGAAATTTCGTTTTTAATATCAAATTTTGTGATATGACATCTTAAACTAAAAGATTTATTGATAGTTGAATTTAACGAAAAATGGACATATTCATGTCAGTATTAACTGAAAATAAATTTACTATGTGTTTCTATTATGGTTTTGATTAAATCACTTGAATAAATTAATGAAATATTCAATGACACACTTAACCCGGACAAAAACCTATACGGGGAAAGTGCTTTACTTAATATCAGGACAAGTGCGTCAGTTACATTACATTCAAAAACATATGGGTATAGCCTAGCTACTATGTTTTGTTTATAATTTTTATATTCATGAAAATTAAATTATTTTGTTGAATAGCATTATGAGTTTTTTTTTCTTTTTTATTCTGTAAACACTTTTTGTCCCTCTAATCTTGCTCAAAAGTATCAAGTGTAGCATCTTTTCTGAAAGGTAATGTTCTTGAGCTGGTACTTTAGAGAGGTCATTTTTCGGTTTTCGAAATGGTACTCAAAATAAAAGCGGTTAAAAGAGAAAAACGTACGATTTCACGATTTTATAATATTAAATAATTAAGGACGACGTTTTCTACCAGAAATGTTGCTTCAAATGAAAAATGACAAGAGATCTTTTTTGTTGTATTTTGGATTTTGTTCCTTACGGTTTAAATTTCGGAAAACGTTAGACTTTTTTGAGTTATTTATAGACATTTTAATTTTTGGAGTTTTTTGTTGTAATCCATAAAATAATTCATAAAAATATTTGTAAAACTTGGAATTTGAATTGTTTACTTAAATTATTCTTACCTAGACATAGTAAAATTTTCAAAAGATTTGAGCGACTTTTTAAGCTTTTTCTTTTATTTAATATTTTTTTTCATATTTATGATATTTCCTAACTATAAATTATAATTATAATTATATAAATTACCGATTTATATAAATCGTTCTTCAGCTGTTCTTAAAATGCTTTGTTTATCACCATAGAAACAAATAAAATTAAATAAAAAAGCGGACGAGGGAATCGTTCGCTCAGAATCGTTTTTTATCGAATGCAATCATTGCATTTAAATCGAATACAGTCAAATTACACTATCCTGTCCGATTTATTTAAAAAATGTATTACATGAAAAAACTACAAACACTAATAAATCATTTGATTAGTATAACTTCAAAATCTTACTAAATTATCTAAGGATATATTTTTATCATACATTATTTTAACTATAAAATCTATTTGGGTGGTTTAAAATTAAAATTAAATTATTTAACTGTAATGTTTTGACCCTTTTGTATTGTATCATTGAAAATAAATTATTTTATTTAAACTTATGTGACAAGAAAATTTTAATAAATTCTAGAATATTTTCAAAACTAATACCCAAAATATATGTACAAATGACCCAATAATTCTGATTTAATAATAGGGTGGGTAACAATAATTTGTTTATAAATAATAGTAAATGCTAATTCTTGAGAAGTTCGAGTAAATTCTAATAGTGAATATTAAATGTGACAATTTGCAATTTAACTTAATGAAGTTTTTCTATTTTAATTTCAGATAATAAACAAACCTCAATAATCTATGTATTAATTAAAACAAAATAATAATAAAATAAAATATTTGAAGAGGGAGATATACGAATGTTATTATGGGGTCAAGAATAATTTCAACAACAAGCTCCACCTTTAACAACTTTATTTATTTTTAATTAATTGATAAAAAATACATTTTATTTGTTACCTAACGATTATAAAACACATTTAGCTCCAGCCGTGTATTTACATATTTCCCGCGTGTAAGCCGGTGGAATATTGTAGCTCTAAATAACTTAAATAAATCGCACTAACTGAATTATCATTTAATTATCTACTTCAAATATATATTAATTAGGTAAGTATACAAAACAAATTTTATTTGAAAACTAAAACTGAATATCATAGGCGCAATTCGGGGGGGGGGCTAGGTTAGGGGCTAGGATGTGCTTAGTACCCCCATTTTCGAAATTAACACCCCCAAATGTATTTATGTTAATTTACATTTAAATACTCATTACTGATTATGTATATAAATACATAATAGTTTTTGAGTTTTTTGTATAAATATATAAATTTTTATACAATACGAAAATATTTCGCAATACGAAAAAAAAATATCTTTGCTATAGGGTAAAAGTTTCAAGTTTCTAGCCACATTACTTTTGAAATTATGACTAAATAACTACAGTTTTAAATGTGAAAGTCTTATTTACAGCGTATTTTTACCATTTCAAGACAGTTTTTTCCTCACGTCTAGAAAAACTATTAAGACTTAAGAAAAATGACCTATATAAGTACCACCGAATGCCGATTTAAAATCTAAAAAAGTCCTAAAAAAAACTTTTGGATAAGTATTTCTATCCGAAAAAGTGTTTAACAAATAAAATATAAACATCATTATAAAACCATAATATCCTTCGCTTCAGTCAGAATCTAAAAGTGATCATGTGATAAAACATTTGTGTTTAAAGACAGGTAATTCGTTATACGTTATACGCACAATAAAAATATAAAATCAACGTGAACAATTAAATAATAATTAATAAATAGAAGTATTCATATATTTACAAAATATTTTAGTAACTGTTAAATTGTAATTTTTTTGTGCACAAATGCATAATATACATGCATTTGTGCACAAAAAATTACAGTAATATAGAGGAGAAATTAGTTTCCAAACTGTAAAAATCAAATAACACACAAATAATAATAATAAATAGCCCTTCTGGCCCAACAATATAATTCAGTAAATAAAACAATGTGGGAACAAAAACTTACAATATCGTGGGGCGTTATATATATATATATATATATATTATAATAGATAACAATAATAACATGACGTTTTGTAACGTTCCGATCAACTTTAAAACATCAATAACCATGCTACTACGATTTTTCGATAGTCGATTGTTTAATACTTTCTTTTGTGGTATCACAATATGAAATAGAAATTAAACAATTTAATTTGTAATTTAAATATTTTACTCATAATACTGACTTAACCTTACTTCCTTATCCCCACTAAACGTCTGTTTATTGTTTCCAAATTCACAACCCCCCCCCCCCAAACCAAACCAGGTTGCGCCACTGATCGTGGTCGTACTAATTGAAACGTACCGAAATCATTTAAGTCATCGTCTACAATTGCTGCTGCCATCTTA